AGAAACAGGCTTTTGGATTTACCACAGGTAATGTCAAGAGACTTCATTATTTTAGTTGCGTTATTTTTTCCTCATTTATTTACAAAGCTTTTGCAGTGAGTGCCACACTTCTACCTGTACCAAGACTTCCATCTAGGTACGAAGATTTGAAATATGGAGGATGGGAGTGGAGCATGACTGAGATTTTACTTCATGCCAGGGGTAAGGGCTGTAGAAGAGGCATGTTGCAAAGAAAGAATGAAATCCTCAACTTAGGAACTTTCAAAGTGTTTGTTAAGGAACAGAGATGAACATCAAGCATCATCCCTGAAACTTGCGATGCTTAGAATTGCAATGTAATTTTAGCAAAAGAGAGTAAAGCAAAAGCATAAAAGGCAAATCCTCCCTAGCATGTTGCCTCTTTCAGAAGACTGGCTCTCATTATGTTGAGCCTCCTGTTCTCAAGTTCAGAACCTGAAAAAGCTATTTTGTGCATAAAGAAAGAAAAAGGGACTGTGTTTTTCAGCTTAAAGATGATGAATGCATCATTTGCTGTTAGAGGTAATGAGGATTTCAGTTGCTTTTGGCCCCTGTAGGATTTTCTGAGCTTTGCCAAATTCAACAAACAACAATCTATATTAATGAACAACTCCAAAGGCTTGGATAAGATGCACAACTCACATACACGTGGAATAGAGCCACCATAATTTGTTCGCGTTGTGTGTAAGAGATGTAGGCAGCAAACAGACGTGCCCTAATGCAATTTTAGCTCTGGCTGCACCATAATTCTGCAGGGAAAAACCAGAAGCCTTTGGCTGAAGGACAGATTGCTGCACCTTCACCTCCTGAAGGTGCTGTAGCACACACCCTGCCCATGCCCAGCAGAGCTGAGTGAGCCTGCTTGGGAAGGATGGAGCCAAGGACCTGAGGAGAGGAGACAGCCGAGGACATTGGAAAATGCAGCAGCTGGAATGTGGCCCAAAGCAAACTTCCATGAGATGATTTCCAGCATAATCACCACCTGCAAATGAATGATGAGCAGAACCCCACCTCCTCCCACATTCAGAGAACAGCCCTTGGCAAGAGTGCAACCCCCAGGGGTGAGCAGGTGGGCTAACACCCCAGCACCAAGTTTCAGCACTAATCTTTACAACTAAAATAATCCTGTAGGTCCTCCATTTATGCTGATAGGGCAGTTTAAAAGCTGGTATGAAATACAAATGTACAAAAATGTCCATGCCAGACACTGCAACTTCCCGATTCCCCATCCTCCCACAGCTAGAGAGCAGTTTCTTCAGCCTGCAAACAGCACATGCACCTTTCATCTCAGCCTCCCCTGCTCATGCCACATTCAGAACTGAATCCTACCAACACCGCGGTGAGATCAGTCACCTGAGGAACAGCAGCTGTGAGCCTAGCAGAGTAAAAGTCAGTGATTTAAAAAAGGTGAAATAAAACTATTATCCAAAAGAACAAAATCCTCCCCAATGAGAGGGAGGCAGAATTCTGATGTAATGATAGCTCTGCATGCACACTGCTCTGGAGCTGAGTCCTTGCATGACAGGCAACCAAATAACTTGGAAGCAAGTCAAGCTCAGAATACTCTTCTTTTTTTTTTAAAGTCACTTATTTTGCATAGTACCATGAGAAAAACGTATGCCCCACTGTTCTCCCCTTATTTTCATGTGATCAACTGGAGTTTGTTATTCTGAGGAGGGGAACAGAAGGAGAAGGAGGTGGCTGACGGGTTAGTAATTTACAGATCCATATTTCTTTTATATTGCAAGTATGTTCCATTTGTTCTGAAAATATGTAATGATCTAAAATGGGGACAATTTTAATGAATTGGGTTCATAATATTTCATATCTTGCTGCCAGACTCTTAGTCAATCAAACTAATGTTATAAAGGAACAGCCAACAGCCAATTTTGACATCCTTTAAGCAGGTCAGTTATAAGCCAATTAGCTCTACCTACTTGGTCTCCAAGGTCTGAATAAAATATAGCTCATTTTGATTAGAAGCACTACTTCCACCAGTGTGCACATGCCTTAAAATAGACTGCAAAACTACTGAAAGCCCCGTGGAATTGTTAGAGGAAGTCTCGATCCTACTGAAGTCAATTACTGTAATACAATTTCTCCTGACTTCTCACAGATTATGAGAGCTCCCAGATTCACACAGTGTCATTGCAGCTTTATTGGATAGCAGAAAAACGAAGTGCTGCATTCATCAGAGCCCTTCCATCTGCTGAATACAACTTTTCTGCAACATAAGACAAACTGAAAGCATTGGTCTTGAATCACAGCAAAATTCTTAGTGAACAAACTTCAGCAAAAGGAAGTCAATCAGAATTGTGTATGCACTTCACATTAATTCCTCCTGTTTATTTTCACAAAACTTTCACATTATTAATAACTGTCAGATCCTTCTTGACTTGTTTGACAAGAAATGCAGTTACTAAAACTGGGTTAAATAAGACTCATCAAGTTATTTCAAGAAAGAGCTTTGCATTAACTTGAACTTACAAAATTTATTTTATTAACAAGTCTTTTTTTTTACTTGTTAATGTTTAAGTGCTGTGGATGTTTTTCCCCAAGAATATCCTGCTTTATGTCCTTTACAATGAGTGGATTTTGTCATTATTTGCCCCACTCTCCAATAAAATATAACCATTTTCTTTGAAACCATACTGATGAGAAGGGAGTGCTAAAAGATTCTTGTTTTATGTGTAGTCACACAAATGCCTTGCAAAAATATTCCTGTCATTCACTGCATGATATACTTTATGTAGCCTGAATTGAAAAAAGCACATCTGATTTAAAGAAAACACCCCCTCCAAAACAATAAAAAATAAACAACAAAAAGCACAACACAACAAGCAAACCAAACAGAAAGAAACAAAAAACAAAACCACCAACATCTGAAATCTCCAGCAGCACAGAGAGAATTTGGCCTAATTTGTTGGAAAACCTCCTATCTGGGAAGGATCCTTAGAAACCAAACTGCATCTGAAACCTTACTATCTTCCTATTATTTAAATACACCAAAAAAGACTCTCCCTATAACATACAGGCGATAAATCAGGTTTTTGTTTGTTTTCTTTGTTTCTGCACAAGCCAAATTCACAAATAACAGAACCTTTTTGAAACCACACCAGCAGCAAATCCATCCTACTGTGTTTCCCCATGTTTGTACTGTAATCATACAGTCACTGAAAAAGTTAGGACAAAAGGGGTAAAAAAGAGGGGCGGAAAAAAAAAGGAAATAGAGAGAAAGATGCATGGGTAATAATCCAAGGGCACGAGCAGCAGTAAGCCCAGGATTCAGAACCATCTAGAACTGCCAAAAAAGCACATTATGAAAAGCTAGAGGGGCCTGACACCCAGCTATTGGGACTGGCACAAGCCAAATGAAGCCAGGTGGATTCCAGCCAGGCTGGTCTGGCCAAATGCACAAAGACATAACATAAGTCTGAATCCAACCTAAGAGGATTTCTATGACAGGGGCTGGAATTAAGATCATACAAAACAGCAAAAATGTAATATTGAGGTTTGCAAAATTCACTCATGCTCAGGAATGTAAATAGGCACTACTGGAGTAATTTAAAATAAAGATACAACTTTTTCTTACAGTAAATAAATATTAAAACCAAGTAATGAAAATACAATTTTCTTCACTTAATGGTTAATTATACTGCACCTAATTATTAAAATTCTTGATAACTGATGAAACAGAAAGAATTGCATCTGTCTTCTAAAAATAAAATCTGTCATAAACATTTTCTTCAAAACACCACTTCTTTAATTTTCAGATGATTGCCTGTCCTGTGTCCATTACCCTTTTGCATTTCCACTGAGCTTTAATTAGAGTTGAAGTGGGTCTTAATTTGCTTATTAAACATCATAAGCAATTTTAAAAAAAGGGTCATAATTTTAAATTAGGAAACCAGGAAACTGCATTTAACCTATATCACAAAACATAGTATTAAATCCAGTCATGTATTTTTTAAGAAAAAAAATTCTAATAATTTTAAGGTATAAATTAATTTTTGACTGAAGCTGGGAAAAGTCTGAGCTATTCTTGAAAATGAACCAAGGGAGCAAAGGGGATGTCAAGTACAGGAGGGCATATATGTAATTTGCAGTCCAAGGTGCTTGTATTTTAATGGGAACATCACAGGTGGAATGGCTGCAAGTTGTTCACACAGGAGTGATCATTATTTCCATCCCAGAAGGATTTGCTTCTGAAACTTATCCTGCCTGTCCACACCAGCACCTTTGGTCTCCAGCACTTATTTACCTTCAGGATACAACTAAAGTCACTTGCAAGCCACCTATATATAAATGTATACACATTCTATTTCTCCTTCCCTTCTATGGAAATGTCAGAACTGCATGCACTGGTGGTTTTTTTAGCAGGAGAATTTTTGACATCTCACTTATTGCTTTGTTAGTGTCCAAGCAAGGGATCTGTGGAGAAGGGTATTTACTACAGGTGTCCTTTTTTCCCAAAAGGTTATTAATTAAAGAGAATTAAGTGCAACCTAAATGTTTGTGCATTTTTCATTGAAGAACCTTTCATAAGCCTTTGTTTCCTTTTTCTTACAAACAGCTGTCATAGCATCATTTCATTAAGTAATCAGTTTTTCTCTACTCACACATACTCAACTGACATTGTAATTGGTGGTTATTGGGCTAATATGGAAAAAGATAATTGTGGAATCAGAGACATGGCTTAAAATGAAATATTTCACATGAAGGCAAAGTGACATAACATTCAAAATCTAAAGCTTTAAATTAGGTACCAAATCCCCCTACCTACGACCTGTTATGCAAATGTTTAAGAGAACAGCACTAATCAGTATAAAATTAAATATCCTTAACTTTTGCAGAACAGGGGTTGCATTCTGTTGTTACACAACTCCATAAATTACTTGCTTTTTGACAGTTCTTAAGTCACTTATTTTAGTATCCGAATGTAGCTACAGGCACATAAATTTGAAAGTGTGATAATACATTACCTAAGGCCAGACAGTGAATCAATGTCTAAGTCAGAAGAGGAACCCAGAAATCACAAGTACCTGTTGAAAGACAAGGTGACACAGCTTAGTGGAGAAAAAAACCAAATTCATCCACTCAGCAGAGAGAAAAAAAATATTTCATTTCAAATATAAAGCAATTGTGCTCCCCAAACTGGAATTTTCTCCTTTAGATAATCTTAAACACGTTGTGGGTTTTTTAACCATCATTCTTAGAGAGGGAGGTGTGGAAGGATTAAAAGCAAAAAAGCCAAACTTGAAACTCAAAGCATTCTTCACTAGGATTAAATCACTAATTGCCTGCACTCTTCTTGCAGTGGTCCTAATTACATTGTAAATAAGAATATGTACAGGACCAGCTGAATTACTTACACACTTTAATTACCCTGAAAAATGCTTATAAGTAAAAAGTCTATAGGAAGTCAACAAAGTGGCTTTGTAATTAGTGCAGAAAGTTAAAGCTGAGCCCGAATAACCCCCCCATATGAAAAAAATCATATTTAGAATAAATGTGTTGCAAAATTTTGGGGGTGTCAAGGTGAAAGCGGGTTACGAACTACTTTTTACTTTTATGAACTGCAGAAGAGATTTTTTTAAAGAGTTCAGTCCCTCTTTCCCCACCAGTGCAATAATTATTCCCCAGCAAGCATCAATGGCACTAGGAAAGCAGAGAGCTGGGGAGTACCTGGTAGGGAATGTAATAGCTTCAAGGACCCAAAACCTAGCTAACATGAGAAATTTGTCAAAGGTTCAGTGGGATTTTTCCACATGCTTCAGTTTCAATGAACCTTCTCTTTGAATAGAGGCAAAGGCCTTCAGAAAATTTCCAGCCAGATTAACAAGAGCTGCTTCTTGCTTTTCAGACAGAAGTCACTATAAGAACATTAAAACTGCTGTGGCTCATTGTCATCAGTTGGAGCAATGTGAACTGTGAAGTGATAAAGCCTGGCCACTGCCTGAGCCTGAGATATGAATTTCCATGAGAATTTGGTCACTATTTCTTTGATGAGATGAGAAAAGGAAAAAAGAAAAAAGGGAAAAAAAGGAAAAAGGAAAAAACAAAGTATTTTCTGCTTCTGTATAACCCAAACGTTTCTAGCCTCCCTTGGGTCTGAAATTGCTCATTCTCAGGTCAGACCTGTGACCCTAGAATTTGGCATCTGTGATTCCTGACATCACCCACTACCAGGAAACATGAGATTAACTTAAGATGCCAAAAGACCTTTTCTGGCATCCAAAGAACATGCCAAATAAGTGGAACAGCAGTGATTTTTACATAATGCTGAACCATCATTTCTTTTCTGTGTGCTACATTATGTATTTCCTTTGCTATCTGATAAGAGCTAGAGACTGGTAAGCAAACTAAATCCCAAGTCTTTACAAAATTCAGTAGGGTCTCTATACATCCCAGGAGAGATGTGGAAAATAATGCTTCACCTTCCAGAAAACGGAGTGCAGTCTGCAAGGTAGGACACAGGAGGTGCAGGCTCTGCATTTCAAAGCAGCGCATTTGCACATGAGGCATCACCACTGATACAGCACAGCAGCCTCAAGGTTAAACAACCCCGGTGCTGAGAGCTGAGGAAACTGCTCTGAATCACAGCTGCACTTCCCTGGGAGTGAACTGGAGACCCCCACAAACACAGAGCGCTGAAACAAACAATCATGGAGGAACAATGATGTTTCTGACATTTCTGTGCTTCTCCAAATTTGTAACGGATAAATTTTCATCTTGTGGGATCAGTGAGAAAGGACTCACCTTGTTTTCTTGAAAGAAGAAAGAAGAAATGAGTGATGTATTCTTGGAACTTATGTCTCTTAGCACCTTTGGAAAGCCCAGTCAGACTGAAATAAAACCAGTGCACAGTGTTGATCAGTGCCTGACAAGGAGTAAAGGCAACATCATCCTCTCAGGTGGGAATAAAAATCTAAAAACATTCTACAGTGGCAAAATGTAAATGAACACAGAAACATCAGCTGCTCTGAGGCCTGGGACACCTCTGCTATGGAGACAGGCTGGGAGAGCTGGCTTTGTTCACCTGGAGAGGAGAAGGCTCTGGGAGAAGCTTTTAGCATCTTCCAGTATCCAAAGGGAGATGCAAGAGAGCCAGAGAGGAGCTTTTGACAAAGACTTTGGTGATAGTACAAAGGGAAATGGCTTCTTCCCTGTGAAGGTGGTGAGGCCTGACAGATCCATGTGCATGCTGAATTTAGACATTTTAAGTCTGCTAATTTTCAGTTTAGAACAGCAAACAAATTGGATGGCTCATATTTGAACACTTCCCCTTAAGATATTTGTTTGGACGGAGTCCTCGGAATACACTGGGACTCCCACCAATGTAAGCTGCATGTGCAAACTGAAGGCAGCTCATGGGCCTGTGAGATAAACTGCTTGCCCTTTTATTTCCTGCAGCACACAATCTGAAAAAAAAAGAAAAAGTGCTTTGCTTCTTGCAATTGAAAACTGCAGTGTCCATAACATTTGAATCATCTTGTTGCTAATCCTACCTATAATTCCATACTAATACAAGTCCTATTTTAATGATTCTACTTTTACAACATCCAAACTATTGACCTCAGGCATCAGATAGTGAAGTATTTCAAATGTATCTGGATGTTCCAAGGCACCAGGTACTTCAGAAAGCCCAGGGGAAAGTGATATTTGTGTGATGACAGTGGCTGGCACAGGAGTCCACCATTCCCCAGAAGAACATAAAGATGCAGGCAGAGCTGGAGCTTAAAGCAAACCGGAAAATTTGCAGTCTCTGTAAGTTCTTTTCCTCAAAAAAAACCAAAACAAAACAAAATAAAAACAAAACCAAAAAAAACCCACCAACATAAACCAATAATAGATCCTCATTGCCAATAAAATGATGTAGTTGCCAACAGGGGCTTGTGCTAGATGCAGCCACACCAACCAACAGCACTGGAACTATTTGAAAGCAATCACCTGTCCCCCTCAGCAGGAGCACACTCAAAGCCTGACAGTAGAAAATATAAACAGCAAAGAAAAAGAGGTATGAATAAATCTTTCATCCTGGTAATTCCAGTAGATATCCAGTAGATATGTGGAAATCCAAGACTGAATTTGATAATAATATAAAAACTGCCTTCTATATCCTAGACAAAAATCTAAAGTCTAACACATACACTTGTGTTTTTTGAAAGCAGCTTTGTGTTGTCTCAGGAGATTACAGCATTTAAACGTGGAGTGTTTAGCTTTACAACTAAAAACCAGAACAGGGCACGTCCATAGAGCCTAGTTTTCAGAAAAACAGATATTCAGCACTTGCAGTAAATGAAGTACAGTTCAAAATATCAGAGTCCAGCCATTGATAGCCACGGCAGGAAATCCTGACCTAAATATTCATCAAGGTAACTATGGGTCTGCTCCATTATGATTCAGTATCTGGTGCCCTTGCCACCAGAAGGAGCATTCAAAAGGTCGCCTAAGTCAAATAAGTTTCAAACAATTTAGAAACTGGGGTGAACAGATTGAGTGACTCAGAGGAGGGAGGATTCTGTTTTTAAATGTGATGGCTCCAGTTGCCATTTGTCCTCTAGATCTTCCATTCAAACCCAAAGTCAGCCATACAATGGTCTTCTGTGGGGTGGGCTGTGACCTACACATATCTCAAGTACCAGACATCTTAAACAGCCACACGATTCCATGAACAGCAAGGATCCAGATACATTTACATTAACTTCAGATAGAATCCTCTTATAAAGCAAACACCAGCTCTTGTGGGATCTGTTCATCACCATTGCCAGAATGTCCTGTAACATGCACCCTGACTCTGGCTGTGCAAGCTAAATTTGCTGTGATTAGTAGGGCTGAAAGAAAAACGACTGCACTAATATCCAAGCTGTTTGAAGAGAGGTTTACTGCCCCCAAAAGAATCATTTAATTATAACACACCATTTTCTTTAGATCTACATATAAAAGAGTTAATTTGCCTAAGCATGCACCAATGGGGCTAATGGATAAAGGTTTTTATTAGGGATGTGCCAAATGGTTCAATAGTTATTTGAATACTGTAGAGACCTCTCAAACATGTAGCTTTGGCGAGCAGTAATTCTGTTCAATTAATGGGTTTATTTCCTTCACAGATATTCTTTCAGAAGCGTTTCATCATCCATGCAGTGCTGTTCAGAGACAAGTTGTAAACATTTTCTCTTTACTGGTAAGTTCTAAAGACACGATGGTGTTTTTTCAAAATGCTGTACTTGATATGGGAAGAAACCTGCAGAGGAGTACATAAAAAATGCTGTACAAATTCTCTTTGGACTTGAGTTAATTTGTGATAATAATATTGTTGAAACCAATGAAATCACATCAGCTTTCAAACAGTCTCTAGCACTCTCTTCTCCACTTCAGCTCTGCGTGGCAGAAGGTGGCACACTCAGCATCCCTTCCAGCAGCAGTTCCCAGACACAGCCATTAATATGGCTCTAAATCTCCTAAAGCAAATGCAGCTCTGGTGTCTGTGCATTGCTGCTCAAACTGCACACCTCCACATTCATCTAACAGCTGTCAAGAATAAATTTTAAAAAACAACAAAAAAGGTTTTCTTTGCCACACCCACACAGGTAAAGAAAAGCACAGCACAGTCCAATGCACACATTAGCAGACATCACTGAAGTAACACTTCCCTGAGTAGCCTCCTCTGTGCTGCTTTTTGTTTCTGCTGATTGTTTCTGAACCTTCTTCCTTTAGCTCCTCTTTTCCTTCAATCTGCACTCTGAACAATTCCCCAGACGGGGCTGGGAAAAAAAAGGCAGTCCTGATATGGCCATCACCATCCAGCTGTTACCTGCCCTTGAATTGTGTCTCTCTGCCCTTAACCTTTATCCAGATGGTTCATTTGAATGTTAGAGAGCAGCATTTGTATGAATAGAGCTACTTAGATACTCTTAAGGTCCCCAAATCCAAAAGCATTTCATCACCTATCTATCATTGGAAAAAAAGGGTCTGGTAAATATTTACACAAAGCTGTCTCTAGGAACCATCTATTACATTGCTTTGCTTGTGTTACAGTATAAAGACATGTTAAATCTTTATGTAAAAACATTTTTCCTATACAAAAGGAGCTTTGTTAAACTTATAACATTTGTGAATTATCTGGTCTAACATTTTTAAGTTACCTTTGCCATGATTTTTCTCAGCCTTTAACAAATGGAGTTGCAAGTAAACAACGTGAAATTCTGTATGAATTTCCAACATACATTGACAGAGAATATGAACATCTGAATAGGTCAAAAGCTTGATATTCCCTCCAGGATAACTTTTCTATCTCATAAATCCTAGGCATCATGGCTCCAGCATTACATTAATTAAAAAAGAAAAAGATGTCATTAACTTGGGGATAAATATTTCTAAAATTAAAGTCTATGGATTCCCATATCTATACTCCTGTGCCTTCCTCTGCCTCTCTGGTTCTTGTCTGTATGATCAGAAAATATCTCATTTTCATTACTGTCCCATCAATGCAGATGCTGAGAGCCACAGAGCTCCTGCACACAGGGAAGGGACTCTGCATTTGCCCAAGGCTCCATGCTGGCATTTCCTCTCTCTAAACTTCCCTGGCAGCATTTTTGATGTGACATTGTGAAGCAAAATTTTAATATTCTTCAACAATTAGCAACATCAAGGGGGTGTTGCAGACACCTTTAGCTGCCTAAAGTCATCAACACCACTGTGGTGTTTTAGTTTCTCTGTTTTTCCTCTCCTTTTATTCCTTAGTTCTCCAGTTCTGAGCTCTGGGGTCTTTTTCTCCTGCTATAAGCACAATAACAAAAGGAAGGCAGAAGTCATGACTACAAAAAGCAATAAACATTACAAAATTTACATGGTAATATTTTTACAGTAGCCAAATGATTGCCTAACGACATCTCCAGAGATTCCCGAGGTTCCACCAGTCAGGGGCATGAGATTGTTTTTTGCTTTTTTCAGTAGAGAAGGTCCACAAAGGAGGCACCTTGCTCTTTATCTATTAATGAACTTTGCAACTTGAGATGGAGGAAAAAGTACACAGGTTCTGAAGACTGAAAGTCATCATCAAAATAATACTTCTGAAATTGTTTCCCTAAATTATGTGATAAGAAGACAGATAGAGCTTTGTCCTGTTTACCCTTCCTAGTAAGGATCTTTTATTTCCTAAACAAGGGCATCATATTTAAACACAGCAACTCTTTCAGCAGTTGGAATTGAATACCATTGAATACATTGACCTTTACAAAGATTTAAAAATAACCTTGAATGTTGTCTTGCATTAGCTTTCATTATTATTCAATTGCATCTGATGAGCTGGCAGTAATTTCCACTTCTGGTTGCTATTGTTTCTTGTGGAACAAACACCTTCTTATACCTACAGGGCAAACTGTATATGGAAAAGTGCACAAAAACTCCCTGATAGAATTCAGAGAAAACATGTCAGTGCAGCAGGCACTGGTCAGAGGAGGACCTCACTCACCCACTTAAACAAATTCATAAATTTCTGCTAATTTCTGCTATTTTTGTCCTCACACCACCCAATATTTTTTAAGAGCATTTACCTAATCAGAGACATATTTTCTACATACACAGAATTCAGCTATGTGCTTCTGGAAAAACAAAAGAAAAAAGACAGCTGAAAATAGCAATAACTCAAATCCGTTCAAGATTTTATATTTTTAGAGAGACATAAAAGACAGGTTTGTTCTTTGTCCACATTTGTATGGGTAATACATACTGTTTTCTCACCTTCAGTCTGCTTCTACTTGCCCCTCACCATATCTAAGTAAGTTTACAAGTGAGTGAAATATATTGCTCTGAACTACTTTTTAATCACTTAAATACCTTCAAG